TCATATTTATATTATCATTACTAAACTTAATAACAATCTATTCTAAGTTATTACATATATATTCATTAATTTATTCAATAAACAATAATGCTTCATAACTAACTATATTATTGATGATGTCTTACACAATCACTAGCAATTTTCCATTTATCTCCTTGGGCAGTTACAAGAAAATGTTGTTGAAATGATCTTTGTTTTACATCAGTAGATTCTGCATTGAATTTAACTGTCCCACTAACTAATATTAAAATCGTATGTTGTGAAGAAACAGCATCTTCTAATACTGGTTGTGCATCCAGAGACAGTAACTTGTGTTCTGATGGGGGCAAGTCTGAGAAATATTTCTGAATTGCATCTTTTCCAGTTGATCCGTTTCCATTCCAAGCTAAAATTCCTGTGTCCAAGTAGAGCTTCGACATTAAATGGCGTCTTTTGTCCATAGTTTCATAATACAGTTTTGTAAACTCCTCTGCTGTACGGCAAGCTGCATTTATACTAGTTTTCAGATCCATTATTTTGACACCTTAATCACTACTATTAGTTTTAAATGTCCACCAATTCGAAACGGAAAACAGGCCCTGACTAAGTAAAGTTAGGCAGTACTCTGCAGCGCGAGTTAACGAGCAATGAGTCTCATTAAATTGCCTGAAGAAGAAGTTGTGTTTTTATCAGACTTGGTTGAGTCCATTGAACTACGCTAGTTCGAGTGCAAAAATGTGTCAAAAGATAGAAGACGATGGTGACGACACCAAGTGAACGAGCGTTGCCGAAAACCGCCGAATACTCTTTGAATACTCTCGATTAAAACTTTTGAATATAGAAAACATATGAGGCTTAGCAGTCCATATGTATTGTAAGGTTTATGGTTGAGTCATTCTGAATCGTTTGACCTAAAAGTTGGTAAAAGTGATGAAGTCTATAGTAGATTCGCGTGAATTTTAATAATATGTTCATAAATAGTAGATTCTATTTTACTTTTTATATAAGCACTAGCTGTTTAATTATTCATTTATTTATAAGTTCACTTATTTCATTTATGTACTAGCTGTACTCATTCATAATTTTCGTGTTTTATTTTCAATTAAAAATTTGAACAAAAATGTAAAATTGTTCCATCTAATCTACCAGTTTTCTTTTATTCTAGTGTCCCTGTCTATATGACTGAATGTCTACATCTCCATCTGTCTATCAGTTTACCAGTCCACCAATTTACCTGTCCACCAGTATACCTGTCAACCTATTTATCAGTCTACCAATTAATCAAATTACCTGTCCATCAATTAATCTGTCTATCATCAAATTGTCTATCAATAAACCTGTCTACCAATTTACCTATCATCTAATCTACCAATTTTCTTTTCTTCCAGTCTACCTGTCTACCAGTTTACCAGCCAATCAATTTGCCAGTCCACCAATTTACCTGCGCACGAGTATTCCTATCTACCAGTATATATGTCGACCTATTTATCAGTCTACCAATTAATCAAATTACCTGTCTATCAATTAATTTGTCTATCAATCAACCTGTCTACCAATTTACCTATAATCTAGTCTACCAATTTTCTTTTCTTCTAGTCTACCTGTCCATATGACTATCTGTCAACATCTCCACCAATCTACCAGTTCACCAGACAATCAATTTACCAGTTCACCGATTTATCTGTTCACCAATATTCCTGTCCACCAGTATACCTGCCAACCTATTTACCAGTCTACCAATTAATCAAATTACCTGTCTATCAATTAACTTGTCTATCAATTAACCTATCAATCTGTTTATAAATCCACCATTTTACCTAATTACCAATTTACCTGTCAACCCGTTTTACATGTCTATGAATTTATCTGTCTACCAATTTACCTGTCCACCAATTTACCTGCCTACCAACCTGTCTATGCTATCTATAGATCTACCTGTTAATCTGTCCTCCAGTTTACTTATCCACTAATGTACCTGCCAACATATATCTCAGTCTGCTAATTTAGCTTTCTACCAATTTAATTGCTATCTACCTGTTTATCTGTCCACCAGTATACCTGTCAACTTATTTATCAGTTTATCAATTAATCAAATTACCTGTCTATCAATTAACCTGTCTGCCAATTTACTTATCAACCAGTTTATAAATCCACCATTTTACCTGATAACCCGTTTTACATTCCACCAATTTACCCGTTAACCTGTTCATCTGCCTACATATTTGTCTATCTACAAATTTACCTGTCAACCCGTTTCACATAACTACCAATTTACCTGTCAACCTGTTCATCTGTCTATGTATCCATAGATCTACCTGTTGATCGGTCCACCAGTTTACTGGTCCACTAATGTACCTGTCAATATATATATATATCAGTCTGCCAATTTGGCTCTCCACCAATTTACCTGTCTACCAATTTCACTGTTTATGAATTTAACCGCCTATCAATTTAACTGTCTATCAATTTAACTATCAACCAGTTTATAAATCCACAATTTTACCTGCCTAGCGATTTACCTGTCAACCCGTTTTACATGTCTACCAATTTACCTATCAACCTGTTCATCTATCTACGTATCTATAGATCTATCTGTTTATCTGTCCAGCAGTTTACCTGTCCACTAATGTACCTGTCAACATATTAGTCTACCAATTTAGCTGTCTATGAATTTATCTGTCTACAAATTTACCAATCAATCTGTTTGTTAATCCATCATTTTACCTGCCTACCTATTTACCTATCAACCTGTTCAACTCTCTATGTATCTATAGATCTATCTTTTTATCTGACCACCAGTTTACTTGTCTACTAATGTCAACATATATACCAGTCTGCCAATTTAGCTTTCCACCAATTTACCTGTCTACCAACTTACCTATCAACCAGTTTATAAATCCACCATTTTACCCGCCTACCAATTTACCTGTCAACCCATTTTACATATCTACCAATTTACTTATCAACCTATTAATCTGTCTATATACTTGTCTATCTACCAATTTACCTGTCTACCAATTTACCTGTTCATCTGTCCATGTATCTATCTACCTACTTCTTTCTGTCCACCAGTTTACCTATCCATCCAGTATACCTGTCAACCAATTCATCAGCCTACCAATTAATAAAAAAAATTACCTGTTGATCAATTTACCTATTACAGATTGATAGGTCTAAATCCACCATTTTATTTGCCTACAGATATCATTTAATCCACCATTTGCCTGAATTTACCTGTCAACCAGTTATGATGCTGCCTATCTGACAATTTACATGTCTACCAGTTTACCTAACTACCAATTTATTTGTCTACATGTTCATCTGTCTACGTATCTATCTATCTACCTGTCCACCAGTTTACTTCCATTAACTTCCAGAAGAAGCATTCTGTGTTTTCTCGACGTTTCAAGTCATCATGAATCGTTTGACACCCAAAATTGTAAGAAGTATTTATGCATGTGTGAGAAAACCAAATGTCGCCTCAAAATCGGCTGCACCGATTTCCAAAATTAAGAACTATAAAAATCTTTTTATAATGGAGTTAATTAAGATAAACGAGTAATCTTATCTCGGTTGTTTAAATGCATAAGATAATGCAATGTCAAAGACAACAATTATGACTTTCCTGATAACAATATCAGAATTACTGATAAATAATTAATGGAAACGCCCTGGTATCTAATCACTAAATTCACAGTCGATATAAATTAATTAGAAACGAATCGTTAAATAGATTTCAAACACATATATTAAAAATAATTAAGAGGATTTAAAATATATATATATATATATATATATATTCTTTGGTGCATCTGGCAACCCATGTAAGATTTTATTTATTGCTATCTGGTAACATCGGACAGCATCGTCTAAAAAAGCGGTTTTTTAGTACATTGGAAAATTCTTCTGTACGGGTGTATGATTTGATACTTCTCCTCAGTTATTCGGATTTTGATCATTCTTTTCAGAGTTTGTCAAAGGAAATTTTTAATATTTATTGAACGATAAAACTATAGTAATATTGTAGATATAAATGGCAAGAATTACAAAAAAAAACCCTATCATTGTTTGACAATGAAAACATTTGAACTGTCATCTGCTAGAAATGTCAATTCACTTGAAATTTGAATTTAGCTTAAATTATGAGCCTAGATAACATTAGAATATAATATACAAGAAAAATGTAATGTCCACATTATTGTTGCCAAAAAGCAGCTGAGATTTGCCAAAAATTAAAATAATATAAGATATAGTCAACAGTATATGTTTGGCAGATGAAATTATATAATTCAGTTTAATAAATAACACAATACGTCCAAAATTGCATATACATTTTTTTTTAACTAATGTATGTCGCATTTTGGTTTACATTGCTAAATTATTTAACAATACAAAAAAATATTTCTACTCATTAAAAAAATGATTTAGAGTTTTGTTTCATGTGCCAAAAATTCATTTGTTTGGCATTGGATATGGAATATTTAGTTAGTTGATCATAGATTGAATAGTGCACATATGAACTTGATTTTACAAATTAATCCACCTAAGATTTGAACATAAACAATAATGTTTATTGAATTATTAGTATGAAAAATGTACTTTAGAAATTATAATTGCCAAAAAGCAACTAATATATGGTATAAAATTATGAAAATTATGGACTAAATTATTGAAGCAATTATGTTGTGTGGTAAAATCAAGTGTGGTATTGTCCTTTTACCGAAGATACTATATTATTTTTTCTGGATTTCTTGTACTGCTTATGCTGAGACCATAAATGAATCACAAAGGCAGGACATCAAATAGGATATTAAAAAGTATAGAATAGGATATTTAAAAATTTGGAACTTTTGAATTGTAGACGTGGGTACAGGACAAGGTCTGTCGGGTCATCTAGTATATATATATATATATATATATATATATATACATAATTACTGTTGCCAATTAGCACACGATATCGCTGACGTTCACAATTGTTTACAGTTTCACTTCTTGCAACAATTGTTTAATCATAACAAACACAGATTCAGTAGCAATAAAAAAAAGATCATCGTTTAATTTCAACAACTATTCGTGCCTTAAGGCAAATTGCTGGAACTTTCCGTACCGTAATTAAAAATGTTTAAAAACACTTCATTTTTTTTAAAAAAAAAACATTGAAAAATTAGATTTTTAAGAAGATTTAGATGAACAGTTTGAATTTTTTCAAAAATTTGCGCCTGAAGTAAAAAATATAGAAAAGCATTAAATTCATTCCGGCAGTACAAGTAAACTGTTTCTTGAATCATTCAAATCGGACACCCCATTCTCTCAAAAATCGAATATCCATATGTTTTACACTCTTTGCTCCGTATCTCCGAAACGGCTGGACCTGCCTTTGCCAAAAACTAATCAGCACGTCTTCTTATCAATAGGATTCGAATGTTTTTTGAATTATTCAAATCGGTTGATCCGTGCTCTATAAATTGTTGACGAAAATTTGTATCCGCACGCACACACACGCACACACACATACATCCATATTTTTAAGGCATGCCAAAATGTTCAAAAAAAAGTTAATA